ATCGTTCTGGACTGTATGTACACCATTTTGAAAAGACATTATATGCCTTTCATAAAATAATTACATAGGGGCTAACATGTCCAATGTTTCAACCTATTCAAAGTAATCCAAATTCACGACTTTTTATGTGTTGCATTGGCCGAACTTGCCCCGGTCTCCCCTATCACCAGCGACATAGGTAGTGTACCCCATATAGTAATCCCTATAATACAACAGAGACGTATATATTACAGTATATTGTAATATATAAGTCTCTGAATACAATGACAGAACAAAAGGATGGATCCTTCATGCCTGGGATGTGTAGTCCACTAGTACTGTTCATGCCAATTCATGAGCGCGAAAAATTGTGACTAAATTAAGTTTTATTTTTTAGGTTCGGGCAGCACCCTAAATAGATTGCTGTATCCACCCTTTGGATGTTATATATAATACTGTAAGTAAGTTGCAATAACTTTTGTCCAATCCATTTGTCTTTTGTTGCAATAAAATTGATTTAAACTAAAAATATAATACTGTTACCATCTAAGCTAATATCACGGAATTAGAGTATCTAAGTCCGTACTAATATCAATTAATAATGTGATAGGAATGGCCTTTATCAATCATACTTACTACGGACTTCAGATATAATCCAATTCGGTGTTTTTAATCAACAGTCATAATTTTAAAAAAAAACTACCCGTGGTCTGATAGCTTATGATAAGTTGAAGCACGGAATTAGATTAGTTTTAAACAGAATCCTATCATATACATGTAATATCAGTCTCGACTTTAGTGCACGTAATACTATTCCTAATAAACAGGAGAAGGGCGCATTAATGAGTTCTTCATCTTAGAACTATTTTATTTGAGTTTCTAAAATTAGCATCAAATGACGTAATCAACTGGTATGGGAAACCCCAGTTCACGACGGCGCCTTATTTTTCTTTTGGTAAGGTGAAGGTCGCGGAGGCCGCTGACAAATCGAAAGGAACGTGACATCACAGCAGTGCAGACCATTTGCTTTGGGTTTTCTATATGTGCCTTACAAGAATTACTGTTGTATTCTAAGAACCGGCGATTCGATTTATCAGTAACAGTACATCAGGATGCGTTTGTCCTGTGTTTGATCAGGAGAAAGTGGAGTTTACAGGCCTTACGCTGCTAAGGTAAGAGCGTTATATTTAGATTTAGCGGTTCTGTCGTCGCTCACTGTGACCTGCATTCTGGTCTGTTTACACACCGCTATAAATATTACATGTATCGAAAATTCAGTAAATCTTACAGTTGACAAGTGTGCAGACACGCGAGCTCCATTACTGGGGTGAGTAAATTTGACTAACTTCGACCAGACCATCATCAGCATGCAATCAGTTTCAAAATTCTAACCTAACATAGTATTACTTGTTACAAACGTTAGGCCTTACATATGACGCTAATTCTTAAGTAAGAAATATAATACTGGCTCAAATATTAACTTATGTATTAAATATTAGATAAATCAATGTCGTGTAGCATTACCTGTTTTTAGCTTACCTGTGGTTATATTTAGTCTTAAACAATTTCGTTACTTAATTTGTAGACAGGACAAACACCTTATGATCTACCATACATGTACATAAAGTTTAAACACATTTTTTAGAACATTTGTATTTCCTTAGGCTTAGCAGACGATATGATATATACACGGATGCCAAGGTCCATTAATTTTACAGTCATGCTAAACAAAACAAAAGTAGAAGTGGTAGACAACCACTTCAGTCATAGGTGAGGAATCTTGGGGATGCGGTCAATCCTCTATTTACTATCAACACCATATACAGATAAACGGAAGTGGCCAACTCACACACTGACACATTGTCGGGTACTCCTAGGTATAACGCAGACCAAAACGATTCACCTGTAAATTTAACACTTCTGTACATATATAGATTTATAGAGCAGATCTGCTTAAACAGGTGAGTGATTGTATACAAAATATCTACTGACATTTATTCCCAACATGTCTAGATCTACATAGGACATATAGATGTTGTTATCCTTAAATCTTTTAAGATGTTGACGTGAAAAGTCTTAATACCTCTTCCACATATATTAGACTGAAATATATGTACATGTATGTATGATTTGTCTGGAAGTGATGTATTTTATGTAGTTTTATGATAACAGATCATATATATACATGCAATGCAGATCTGAAAAAAACAGATGATCTGTCTTCTACAAACTATACAGGTACATGTACATCCTGTTCAGACTGATACTTACAGAGATGTATAAATGTTATCTCAGTCTTACGTAAAATAGGTTAAAGCACCGTTAAAAGGTAAATAAATATCTTGGTAATCTCAGTGATCTGGATAGCACACTCACATTTCACAATTTTAGATGACACAAGTTCAAACCCCGATCAGATATTAGAAATGGTAAGGGTCGGGATGTGTACTACACATCCCTGGGGTCACCTATATCTCCAGGTACTCTGGTTTTTCTGACAAGAAGACCCCCTGCACCTACTATCTGGGCCAGCAAGATTGAATCTTAATTGTTATTTATATAAGTTGAAATAACTATTTCATAATTGTTGTTCAGTCATTAGAGTGTCAATATTATAAACATCCATTAATATTCATCTTAAGATTTTATTTTTGTATACATAGAGTGAAAATTAACGATCTTGAAACAAGCTTCAGCTTTGTGAACAGTCCTTCTGAATGGCAATTCTGAAACCGAAAAATATATATGAAAATAAAGTAAATTTAAGATCATAACAATCTTTTATCAATACGGGTGTGGAGGGGTGTTTGTTTTAGGATGGTCCGACCCTGATGTTTTAAAGGCGTTACCTTGTACAAAGCGTCACGTAACGTCACCATGCTAATTTTGGCTGGAGGGAATTCCCATTGAATTCCGTGGTAGAATATGCAAACTATAGATACAATGTTGGAGTTTTAATGTCAGGGATCTTTATTGTTAATAATGCCTTCTAGTCAGTAATTTGCCAGGAAAGTGATATTGCAATTTGCATCTTTAATATGGCAAGCATCAACATTCCGTACTAATAATTGATATTCTGTCTTCCTCTCCCTCTCCAACCCCCCAAAAATATTTAAAAATTAGATGGATGCGCGAGTGTCCAAGCATTAAAGCCCAGCTAGGTGTATGCTTACTGTAGCCTTGAGGCTTTTCTTGGTGTGAGCTATGTGTTAGAGAGTTCACCCTGACTCTAAAATACTGATACTTTGGTGTGATACACATCAAGGACTGGAGCTTGAGTGATTCCCTATAAATGATCCATTTGCATTCATGTGAAAATGGTATGTGTGTATCAGATTCAAATTTTGTATAACACTTTCTAGCTTTAGATAAATTTAGCATATGTTTTGTGTGCAGATGTCAGGACATACAAATATCCACATGTTTCCCTATAATGGGCTATATGTATATGTATAGCATATAAGGAAGTTATTGGATGCCATCAAATAGGACAAAAGACAGCTAGGTGATGTAAAAACCTGAAAATCAAGATACAAGATGTATAAACCTATATTAACAAGCCTACGTTGTAGAAGGAGGTGTTCAAATTCACTATAACAGGTGTCCACTATAACAGGTGTCCACTATAACAGGTGTCCACTATAACAGGTGTCCACTATTAACAGGTGTCCACTATAACAGGTGTCCACTATTAACAGGTGTCCACTATAACAGGTGTCCACTATAACAGGTGTCCACTATTAACAGGTGTCCACTATAACAGGTGTCCACTATAACAGGTGTCCACTATTAACAGGTGTCCACTATAACAGGTGTCCACTATAACAGGTGTCCACTATAACAGGTGTCCACTATAACAGGTGTCCACTATAACAGGTGTCCACTATAACAGGTGTCCACTATAACAGGTGTCCACTATAACAGGTGTCCACTATAACAGGTGTCCACTATTAACAGGTGTCCACTATAACAGGTGTCCACTATAACAGGTGTCCACTATAACAGGTGTCCACTATAACAGGTGTCCACTATAACAGGTGTCCACTATAACAGGTGTCCACTATAACAGGTGTCCACTATAACAGGTGTCCACTATAACAGGTGTCCACTATAACAGGTGTCCACTATAACAGGTGTCCACTATAACAGGTGTCCACTATAACAGGTGTCCACTATAACAGGTGTCCACTATTAACAGGTGTCCACTATAACAGGTGTCCACTATAACAGGTGTCCACTATAACAGGTGTCCACTATAACAGGTGTCCACTATAACAGGTGTCCACTATTAACAGGTGTCCACTATAACAGGTGTCCACTATAACAGGTGTCCTCTATATATTGAGGCGTCCAATGTAGCAAGTCAGGGGTGATCTAGAAGAGGTGATCATTATATAGCAAACATCCACTATTATAAACATTTGCCCATTACAACAAAGTGTCCATGTTATTAGTTCAGGAGTCGTACATCAAAGATGTCTGATATTACAGTTGAGTTTGTGCTACCACCTACATCACATCGTGTACATATCCCCACAAGCACCTCCCATATCAGCTGTAGGAGACGTAGGAATACTAGGAACGTGGCTGTGATTCACCTGAAGTGCTATATACTGCCTATGCATATGATCACCTTTCAGGTCAATCTTTCCTGGGATGGTGTGAAAGTTAAATGTAAAAACGTAACGATGTTGTCAGTAGCATAACAATATTGCCACTTTAAATCTGACACTATCTCCAACTTACATTCTCAATGTTGCACCATAAATGAAAACTTAATCACAAAATGCATATTTTAATATTAATGTAACCCCTGACCTGACCTCAAGTGGAATAGCTTTTGTAAAATAAAATTCAATGGTTTGACAAGAGGGGGAACTGAGATATAAAAACTCATATGTTCAGGATCTTAAACTCTTGAGCTTGAATACAGTCATGAGTTGGTTTTATATGTGAATAACAGGAAATAGGCGAAAGGAGGTATGTAAATTTTGTGAAATATTTTTGAAATATAATAAATGTCTTACTTGCAAAGTATCGTATACACAATGTGTATTCATTCTGATGGTAACAGCTAGGGGGTTTCTCAAAAGGGATAATTGAGATTTTCTCAAAAGTGATAATTGAGATTTTCTCAAAAGTGATAATTGAGATTTTCTCAAAATGTATTTTAACTTGTAAAATTCGGTCCTGAAAAGGAGAAGATGAAAAGAAAAGGAAGGAAAAAGGAGAAAAGAAGAAACTGTGGAATCCTACAATGTTGTTGCTCCATCCCACTACAGGAACGTTAAATTGGTTCAGTTGTCGAATTTGAAAATATTAAGGAAATTGTGAATATTTGAATAGTGTCTCAGCAATGAAGTTATATAATTTACCCTGCACAAATAACAGTGTACATTATAAGGTACATGGTAATTTGTAAAGTTCATTAATTTTCACATTAAAATGTTATATTTGAAGGTGATCAGCAAAACAATTTACCATACTAAGGCCAAAAACAAATATGTGTGTTTCCTGTTTCTGCTTGAAAAAATAGGGTCGGTAGCTATAGCTAGGTAATTTAAAAAAAACACCAATTACTGTGCTTTTATAGAGCCAGAGATCTGACTTTAACAGTGCTTGTCACTAAATGCCAGTAAAAACTTAAGGTATCGTAAACACAAAAATCGAGGGTCTGTAGGGAAACTGGAAACACTCATATTTTTTGGGCCTAAGCAATGCATTTGGCATATACAGTACTATAATTCTATTTCTGTATTTTCAGATTTACTTTGCTGATTCGTGATTCTGAGGATTACTTCACACAGAAATCTCATCAACAGACTGAACTGTGACATAATTAAAAAAGTCAATAATGAAATTCCACAAGATTTTGATAGCGATTGCATCAACATTGTTTATATTACTTGTGGTTACGATCACTAATACCAATAGTTTAAACTTGGATGTTGGAAATGCTCACATATTTTCTGGACCAAAGGACAGTTACTTTGGATATTCGGTGGCCTTTGTTAAAAATGGAAAAGGTGAAAAATGGTAAGTAAATGTTAGGTTAAATGTTGTTTATCTTTTCTTTTCTTGATTATAGCATGGAGTTTTAATGTTATTTACTGGACTTACTTACATAGGCAGATCCAAGATGGGACCTTGGTGTTAAAGGTCCACCCCTTTTCTATTTTACAAAGAAACAACTGTACTTTTGTAGATGCTAGAAGTCCCCAATTCCAGCCACTAATTGGGCTTCATCCATTGACTTCCCCTCCCTAAAATATCTTGGATATGGGCCTGTGTGAAAGCGTTTGTTTTCAGTTAGTTTAATTTCATTGTGTTATAAGGGATTCTGTGTTGAGATGTACCACTTAGGATATCAGACATTCAGTGATTGTGCTGACAGATGGAATAAAGGGTAATTTACTAAGACACAACTTTGTAATGCTATAGTTAAACAAATTCTTAAGGATCTCTGTACCACTGCCAGAGTTATAAGTGTACACCTTACAGTAAAGCTTTGTTCTGCTTGACTATAACTTTGATACTAGTTAATCATTTCTAAAATGAAAAACAAAGAAACCTTGCAGAATTTGTATGAAGAAATGAACAAAAACAAATCAACTTCAGTGTTCTAATTGTGTGTAAAAGTGCAAAGGGGATGGACCAGGGCTAGTACCCAGGCCCAGTCATGATGGTACAAAACAAAATTAAGGGGAGGTTATACTCCATGATGTAAAACAAAAGTGGAAATCTTTAATGTTTTACTATAAATGAGACAGGGATCCTTAAGGATGATTTAGGGGGAAAATGAATAATCTCAAAATTCTCTCCGAGTTAACAGTTAAATTGCTTTATTATTTATATCAATTAAACTGGTATACCTACGTTGTTTTATCAGAATTATCGTTCCCTACACCCCATTTTTCAAGCTCCCTAGATGATAATTACAGCGAATACGGTACTTTAAAAATTGTTTGTGCAGAATGTTGTTTGGGTCAGAGTGAGGTACATTGGCCCCCATTTATATATTTGTACCAAAACATTCATGACAATATCAAATATTTATGTCAAAAGGATATATACATGTACCTCTAAATAGTATTTGTCATTGTGAGAGAACAGAATGTTATATATATAGAGAGGTTAAAACAGTTGATGAAGCCATCAAAGCAACCATTGGATACAGAAAAAATCAATCAAAACGACTGTTTCACTGTGACATGCAGCAAATCCTGGGAATGATCTGAGTCATCATTAGTGACATGAAATCTAGTCATAGGCTCAACGGTGGGTTGAGACTCATCATATATAAGTGACATCAAATCTAGTCTTATAGGCTCAATGTTGGTTTGAGACTCATCATATATAAGTGACATCAAATCTAGTCTTATAGGCTCAATGTTGGGTTGAGACTCATCATATATAAGTGACATCAAATCTAGTCATAGCCTCAACAGTGGGTTGAGACTCATCTTATATTAGTGACATCAAATCTAGTCATAGGCTCATTGTTTGGTTGAGTACAGATTAAACTGAAACAGTTTTCAAAGGACTAAATCTGATCCCTAATTTTAATCAAGTTTGTCTCTTCTGGGCTAAATACATCATTCTTCAGAGTGGATTATATAATGTTTCGTACATATTTGTGGTAGCTGGTCGCAGTTAGGCTATTTTTTATATATTTTTTTATTAATTACTATAGTATCTGTGGTCACTGTTGTTAAGGTGAGGATGGTGTGATTGTGATGTCATCATTCTTACTAAGGAGTAAAAGGACTATCCTTAAATCTGATTAATAATCATGATTTTAGAAAGAAAAAATACATAAAAAAACTGAATCTTTATAAAATATCACATATTAAACTACCAATATTGTATTTTTTTTACTTTTTACAAATCAAGAGACTCAGTATTTGAAAATTTGACAAGCTTTTTAAAAATATGTATCAGCAGGATAAAAACTTAACCAGTGAACACTCCACCGTGTAGCCTAGTGTACTCTATTGTATTATAAATGTTGTAAAGTTCTGTAAATGCATTTTTCACATACAAAGGGACCATTGTGTCATACAGAGCAAGGAACAGTAACAAATGTTATGGACTACACTTAAATATGCGGAGAAACAGGATGGGGATAAAAAATCCCTTACCCTGGACAAGTGTTTCCTTGTCTCTTACCCTGGACAGGTGTATCCTTGTCTCTTACCCTGGACCGGTGTATCCTGTCTCTTACCCTGGACAGGTGTATCCTTGTCTCTTACCCTGGACAAGTGTTTCCACACTTTTACCGGTGTGAGATATCCTTGTCTCTTACCCTGGACAGGTGTATCCTTGTCTCTTACCCTGGACAGGTGTATTCTTGTCTCTTATCCTGGACAGGTGTTTCCTTGTCTCTTACCCTGGACAGGTGTATCCGCACTTTTACCGGTGTGAGATTTCCTTGTCTCTTACCCTGGACAGGTGTATTCTTGTTTCTTATCCTGGACAGGTGTTTCCTTGTCTCTTACCCTGGACAGGTGTATCCCCTCTTTTCCAGGTGTGAGATATCCTTGTCTCTTACCCTGGACAGGGGTCTCCACACTTTTACAGGTGTGATATATCCTGATCTCTTACCCTAGACAGGTGTATCCACACTTTTACCGGTGTGTGATATCCTTGTCTCCTACCCTGGACAGGTGTATACTTGTCTCTTACCCTCGACAGGTGTCTCAACACTTTTACCGGTGTGAGATTTCCTTGTCTCTTACCCTGGACAGTTGTATCCGCACTTTTACCGGTGTGAGATTTCCTTGTCTCTTACCCTGGACAGGTGTCTCCCCACTTTTACAGGTGTGAGATATCCTTGTCTCTTGCCCTGGACAGGTGCATCCACCCTTTTACAGGTGTGAGATATCCTTTTCTCTTACCCTGGACAGGTGTATCCACACTTACACTTTTACCGGTGTGAGATATCCTTGTCCCCTACCCTGGACAGGTGTATCCTTGTCTCTTACGCAAGACAGGTGTATTCTTGTCTCTTATCCTGGACAGGAGTTTCCTTGTCTCTTACCCTGGACAGGTGCATCCACCCTTTTACAGGTGTGAGATATCCTTTTCTCTTACCCTGGACAGGTGTCTCCACACTTTTACCGACAGGTGTCTCAACACTTTTACCGGTGGGAGATTTCCTTGTCTCTTACCCTGGACAGGTGTCTCCACACTTTTACAGGTGTGATATATCCTTATCTCTTACCCTAGACAGGTGTATCCACACTTTTACCGGTGTGAGATATCCTTGTCTCCTACCCTGGACAGGTGTATCCTTGTCTCTTACCCTCGACAGGTGTCTCAACACTTTTACCGGTGGGAGATTTCCTTGTCTCTTACCCTGGACAGGAGTATCCACACTTTTACTGGTGTGAGATATCCTTTTCTCCCACACCTGACAGATTTATCTCCCGTTTTGCCGGTGCTAGATTTATCTGTCTCCGCCCTAGGGTTGAGACGGGGGGATTCCCCTATTTATAACAATGGTATGACGTCACTGCAACAATACAATGACGTCACGTCAACAATCCATCAACGTCACGTCAACCCTGATTTTAGTATGTAACATTATCATTACATTGTGTATATATGATACACATTGGGGAAAACAGGGTAAGAGAAAAAGAATCATTCACCCCCTTGTGGGTAAGATAGGGGAATCTCAACCCTCGGGGAAAGATTCTTAAGTTGCCAAACACTCGGCAAAGCCTCGTGTTTGGCAACAAAAGAATCTGCCCCCTAGGGTTGAGATTCCCCTATCTCACCCCCAAGGGGGTGAATGATCCTATTAGTCTCTTACCCTGGACAGGTGTATCCACACTTTCACTGGTGTGATATATCCTTATCTCTTACCCTAGACAGGTGTATCCACACTTTTACCGGTGTGAGATTTCCTTGAGGTGTATCCTTGTCTCTTACCCTGGACAGGTGTCTCCACACTTTTACAGGTGTGAGATATCCTTGTCTCTTACCCTGGATAGGTGTATCCACACTTTTACTGATGTGAGATTTCCTTGTCTCTTACCCTGGACAGGGGTATCCACACTTTTACTGGTGTGATATATCCTTATCTCTTTCCCTAGACAGGTGTATCCACACTTTTACCGGTGTGAGATTTCCTTGTCTCTTTCCCTGGACAGGTGTCTCCACACTTTTACAGGTGTGAGATATCCTTGTCTCTTGCCCTGGACAGGTGTATCCACACTTTTACAGGTGTGAGATATCCGTGTACCTTACCCTGGACAGGTGTATCCACACTTTCACTGGTGTGATATATCCTTATCTCTTACCCTAGACAGGTGTATCCACACTTTTACCGGTGTGAGATATCCGTGTCCCTTACCCTGGACAGGTGTATCCACACTTTTACTGGTGTGATATATCCTTATCTCTTACCCTAGACAGGTGTATCCACACTTTTACCGGTGTGAGATATCCGTGTCCCTTACCCTGGACAGGTGTATCCACACATTTACAGGTGTGAAATATCCTTTTCTCTTACTCTGGACAGGTGTATCCACACTTTTACTGGTGTGAGATTTCCTTGTCTCTTACCCTGGACAGAAGTATCCACACTTTTACAGGTGTGAGATTTCCTTGTCTCTTACCCTGGAGAGGTGTCTCCACACTTTTACAGGTGGGAGATATCCTTGTCTCTTACCCTGGACACTTACCCTGGACAAGTGTTTCCACACTTTTACCGGTGTGAGATATCCTTGTCCCTTACCCTGGACAGGTGTATCCACACATTTACAGGTGTGAAATATCCTTTTCTCTTACTCTGGACAGGTGTATCCACACTTTTACAGGTGTGAGATATCCTTTTCTCTTACCCTGGACAGGTGTCTCCACACTTTTACCGGTGGGAGATATCCTTGTCTCACCCTGGACAGGTGTATCCACATTTTTACCGGTGTGAGATATCCTTGTCTCTTACCCTGGACAGGTGTATCCACACTTTTACAGGGGTGAGATATCCTTGTCTCTTACCCTTGACAGGAGTCTCCACACTTTTACAG